AAAAAAGACTTTCTTTTGTGCCGTTGAAGCAATATTTTATTGATGACTTTTCGATTTTCCATTTGTCTTTCGTTCAGTTGATGTGGCCCCACTTTCCTTCCTTTAAAATCTTTCCCATTGCTTGTAAACGATCGGAAATTGTTTGCTAAGCAACGTTTAATCTTTCTGCAAGTTGTTTTTGAGTTTGACATGCATCTTCATTCAATAATGCTTGTAATTGTTGGTCTTCAAACTTTTTCGGTTGACCTGGACGATCTTTGTCTTTCACATTGAAATCATCACTTTTAAAGCGTTTAAACCAGCGTTCACAAGTATCTTGAGATGGAGCATGTTCACCATAAGCTTCCCGAAGTATACAATAACTTTTAGCAGCACTTTTCTTCAAAATAAAGTAATGAATTAAAACTTCCCGCATATCTGTTTTCAGCACGAAATTTGACATTTTTAAGCATAAAAATATCTATGATGTTAACACCTTCAGCAAATTTGACATAAGAAGTTTTGAAGCTTGCTGTCAATGCAACAAAACAGCATACATATCAAATCGAATATATATCAACATATGTGTAACTCCATCTATTGAAAAAAATCCACATATTAACCGGTACACCTGGTATATTACTGGTGAGGCTACGTGAATTCCTATTTTTTTCCTAATGATCTCTAGTAGTTCATTATAGCTTTTAATTATTTTGATACTCAAATTATCCCAGATTTGGCCAGTGGGAGCCTCTTCAAATGGCCATCTCCTGGTGATAGGCCACCATTGGTTTCACTGAGCACTTCCTTACTTTCTGGCATACCAACATGTTCTAGGCTCCCAGCCTCGGAATCAACCATTTCTTCAAGGAGCCCTCCTGGTTCCTTTTAGTGGGAAGGTTTTAGAAACCAAGGTTTGAGTGCTAGGCGCTACTAAAGTCCAGATACACTGTACTGTGCTCAGTTTCATTTATAAAATACAAATGTGAGAAGTAATTCAAACAAAATCTAAATTCACAATTATTTGTCAGTAAGGCCCATCCAATAGTTTTCAAAACTCTTTTCAATTTTACAGCTTCCATTTTTCTCTAACCTTCACATCATAAATTACCTTGATTTTCTAAGCTAATGTATTATATAAAGCTTTTTTTCTTTTAAAGTGGCCATCAGTTTAGAAATGATCTGCATGTTTTATTTAAAATAAGTGCAAACCAGCACTGATAACCCAACCACATTAATTACAATACACCGCTCAGTATAATTAAAAATGATTTAACTAGTATATCTTATTAATTCTGTAAAACATAAACTTATGAACTGTGAAGACCAGGAAAGTAATACTATCAATAATCAAATATGTGCTCTGAAAAAATAGTTCAGACAGAAAGAGTATAGAAAACTTGATGGTATAATCAAAATATATTTACAGGATGCTTCAAAAACCTATCTTTAAAGAAGATATATATGACAAATAAAATCATTATTTTGGCCTATTTAGGAAAAATATACTTTTAAAAATACTACTACTTTGTAAGTTTTAAGTATCACAGCAAGTGGAACTAATTACAGTAATAGCTGGTTGTTCTGTCATCATTTGAGAATCAGTATATTCCCTGAGTGAATTTTCATTGTAACTAAAGACATACAAAATAGGGTATCAATTTTGTGGTACATATAGATGATAGAACACTACTCCAAACAAATGAGCTATCAAACCATGAAAAAAAAAAAAGGAAACTTAATGCGTATTACTAAGTGGAAGAAGCCAATCTAAAAAGGCTATTCATTTTGTCTGATTCCAACTACATCACATGGTGAAAAAGGCAAAACTATGGAGTCTGAAAAATGAAAAAATCAGTGGTTGCTAGGGTTTAGTGGGGAGGAGGGAACACAGAGGATCTTTAGGACAGTGTAACTAGTCTGTATGGCACTACAGTAATTAATGAAGGTCATTATACATTTGTCAAAACCCATAGAATGTACAACAGCAAGAGTCACCCCAATGTAGACCAGAGACTCTGAGTGCCAATATTGTGTCAAATGTAGGTGCATCGATTATCACTGCTGTGGGACATTGGTAGTGGGGAGGCGGTGCATGCAGAGTCAGCAGGTTCATGGAAACTCTTTATACTTTCTGCTCAATTTTGCTGTGAACCTAAAACTACTCTAAAAGATAAAGTGTACTAATCAGAAAAAATACAAATAAAGTTAGAAGAAGTAAATGTTTCTCTATTAAAGCAAAAAGTAATAAATGTTTCTTAAACATTGGTTAATAAAAACAGATTCCAACTTATAAAGGGATGTGTGCAAAAATTTGTTTTAAAATAAGGTACTTTGGAACTTGGAACACACTTTAAACACAGTAATGGCTTCAATGCTGGCTCACAAAAGTCCATTTAAACATTTCCCCTATAACTTTAAATGAGCTACTGTGTATTTGCAGATTCATGACTTGTTTCTTACTAATGGAGACATCAAGAATACCCGTCCTTCAAGCCAAATTGCTAATTCAAACACCCATCACCCTTTCTCCTCCTGGTCCCCACTGCGCTCTCTTAGCTGAAGCTTAGTGAGTTTTACCTTTCTTGGAACTCAGGACGGAGAAAAGGTAATCTTAGTTATCAATTAATTGTTTGCTTCAATGGGTTGTCAATGGTGGTTGGGCTTTGGAATATTCCTGGCATACAGAACAAATTTAATTACACTAAGCACCACAGGTAAATGGACATGTGTGAACAACGACTGAAAACCTAAGCAACCTTTGTATTGAGAAAATGTGTCCCAAGAATAACAGCTGCAGGAACAACAACAACCACTTGCATTGATTAAGCACTTGTATGTTGCCAGAAGTCATTATGTTAAATGCCATATATCTATCTCATTTAATCCTCACAGTAATGCTATGAGATAGATAACATAACTACCTCAGTTTCACAGATGAGACAGCCAAGCCTCAAAGCAGTTAAGTAGCTTCCTTTAAAGTCTCATGGCTAATACACAGGCAGACAGTGGATGTCTACCTAGACAGAATACAATCTGAGTATATCTCTGTATTTCTTTGCAAACTTTAAACAA